GGAATGCGTTACCTAGGGAGGTGGTGGAGTCTCCTTCCTTGGAGGTTTTTAAGGCCCGGCTTGACAAAGCCCTGGCTGGGATGATTTAGCTGGGAATTGGTCCTGCTTTGAGCAGGGGGTTGGACTAGATGACCTCTTGAGGTCCCTTCCAACTCTGATATTCTATGATTCTATGATTCTATGTAGTTACACCTGGGTAACACCCACTAGGCAAAAGGCTCTCAGTATAGATGGCTGGCTGGGAAGGGCCCATTCAAGTTAATGAGCCATTAGCGAGAACAACAGACCTTAGAAGAATCTTATCTCCTACCTGTAGATCCTTCCTGAGGCTGCTGCCGACAGCCTCAGACTGATGGCTGCTGTAACACTACAGGGACATGTGACCAGGTCACCTGTGCTGGTCTCCATCTTGGGATATCAGTGTTTTTCCACTGACTGGCATGGGAACCAAGCTTTGAAACAAAGGATTGCCACCATATGCACAAGCTATTTAAGAACGTTATCATGGTTCTTCACTGACTCCCCACCCAAAGAGACTCCTGAAAACACCTGAGGAACAAAGACTGAACTGAACTGGGGGGAGTGCTGGACCCAGGCTAGAAGGATTTTTAGCCTGTGAATGGAACACCTGGGGATTTTAAGCTTTAAGCAAGTGCAGCTGGCCCCTTAAGAATCTTCAGCTTGCTTGTATCATCACTTAGGTGAGGATCTGCTATTCATATCCAATCTCTTGAGTATATTAAGCTTAGATGGCATTTTTTTGTTTATTTGCTGGGTAATCTGCTTTTGCTATCCCTTATAATAATTTAAAATCTACCTTGTGTAGTTAATAAACTTGTTTTTGCTTTGTCTAAAACCAGTGTATGGGAGTCATAACTCGGGGCAGAAAGCTGTTGTGTATTCTTCTCCACATTGAAGGAGGGGGCAAATTTCATGAGCTTGCCCTGTAAAATTCCCTGTGCAGCGCATGACAGTATAATCTTGGGTTTACACTCCAAATGTGCCTGAGTAGCTGGGAAGTTCCCTAGCTGGAGCTTCCCCATGCAGAGCTGATCACAGAATCTGCATATAACTGCAGATTTATAGGTGTGCCCTTACTTGTATGTGTGCTGGTGAAAGTGGTGGAGCTTGGGAGAGGGCTTGGCAGGCTGGTCACAGTGTAAAGGGAGCCCAGACTGGTGGGTCGGGGGGCTCAGTAGTACCCCAGTTCCAGGTGACACCCCTGGGAGAACCCGTCACACTATGATCAGGGAAAACCAATACTTTCTTGTTGTTATTGATCCATTCTCAATGGCTGAAGTTATTTTCCCTTAAGGCAAGTGCTGCTTTAGCCACAACAAAGATCTTGTTGGAGCAAGTCTTCTGTCATTGGAAACTCCTCACTAAGATAGAGTCTGACACATTTTACTGGACAAATGTTCCAAAGATGTTTACAGTTGTTGGAAGTGAAACAAAATTGTGTATTCCCTAATGGCCTCAATTGTAAGGGATGGAAGAACAAACAAATCATACCATCAAACTAAGGTTGCGGAAACTGGTAGATGCCAATGGATGCAATTGGGACACCCTGATTCCAATCATTTAAATGACACTCAGGACAACTCCAGCTGCTTCAACAGATCATATAACCTTTGAGGGGATGATTTGGTGAATTATGTGAATGCCAGAGCATCTTTTGTGGTATACCAGTGGCACACAGCCAGAGGGAATTAACTTGGAAATCTCTCTGCAAGCATTACAAAAAAATTAAAATCAGATTCACTTGCAGGCAGCTGTTAAAGTGGGAAAATCCAAACAGAAGACAAAAGCCTAGTTTGATAAAAGCCAAAAAGAAAATACTTAATTAAATTGGAGATCAGGTTATGCTCCTATTATATGCTGTACCAGAACACAATTTATGTAACCAATGAACAGGCCACACTATATTATGGATAGACTCAGGGCCGGCTCCAGGCACCAGCTCAACAAGCAGGTGGTTGGGGCGGCCAAGGGGAAGGGGCGGCACATCAGACTCTTCGGCGGCAATTCGGCGGCGGGTCCCTCGGTCCCTCTCAGAGGGAAGGACCTGCCGCCAAAGAAGAACACTGATGCAGTATTAATGACTTAATACTGCACTTCAAACCAAACCACGGACTGTTCCAGTGCAACAAGAAACAAGAATAATCAAGGTGAAACAGAATGTTATATTGGAACTAAACTCAAACTTGCCTATGCAAACTCCAAATGCAATGATAATAGTGATCTGGGTGCAATAATAAATAAAAACAAGATCAAGGACTAAAAGGAATACTATACCTTTCAACTGACATGTTCTTTGAATGGAATTATCAACCAGCACAAGGACAATTTATACATAAGATTTGGGATAAAATGTTGTTTATCTAGTTGACTAATAGTACAACTTTGGCAATACATAAGTTACAGAGTCATATATCAAGTCTGTATAAATTGAAATTACATTTTGTATTGAAGGATAAGTGAACACTATAAGGAGAGTGATCAGTTAAGGTGAGCTATTATCAGCAGGAGAGAAAAAAAGAACTGTTTGTAGTGGTAATGAAAATGGCCCATTTCCAGCAATTGACAAGGAGATGTGAGGAACTGTGGTGGTGGTGGTGGGGGGAGAACATGGGGAAATAGTTTTACTTTGTGTAATGGCCCATCCACTCCCAGTCTTTATTCAAGCCTAATTTAATGGTGTCCAATTTCCAAATTAATTCCAATTCAGCAGTCTCTCGTTGGAGTCTGTTTTTGAAGTGTTTTTGTTGTAATATTGCGACTTTTAGGTCTGTAATCGAGTGGCCAGGGAGATTGAAGTGTTCTCCAACTGGTTTTTGAATGTTATAATTCTTGACGTCTGATTTGTGTTCATTTATTCTTTTACGTAGAGACTGTCCGATTTGGCCAATGTACATGGCAGAGGGGCATTGCTGGCACATGATGGCATATATCACATTGGTAGATGTCAAGGCTGTATCCCCACTTTGAACTTTAGGGTACAAATGTAGGGGCCTGCATGAAAACTTCTAAGCTTAACTACCAGCTTAGCTCTGGTCCGCTGCCACCATTCCCAATGGATTCCCTCCCTGGGAAGCCTTGAGAAACCTTCACCAGTTCCCTGGTGAATACAGATACAAACCCCTTGGATCTTAAAACAAGGAGAAATTAACCATCCCCCCTCCTTCCTCCCACCAACTCCTGGTGAATACAGTTCCAACCCCTCTTGGATCTAAAACAAGGAGAAATTAACCATTCCCCCTCCTTCCTCCCACCAACTCCTGGTGAATCAAGATCCAAACCCCTTGGATCTAAAACAAGGAAAAATCAATTAGGTTCTTAAAAAGAAGGCTTTTAATTAAAGAAAAAGGTAAAAATCATCTCTGTAAAATCAGTATGGAAATTAACCTTACAGGGTAATCAAACTTAAAGAGCTCAGAGGACTCCCCTCTAGTCTTAGGTTCAAAGTACAGCAACCTAAGATAAACAGTATAGTAAAAGGAAAATTTACAAGTGAAAAAAACAAAGGATAACAAACA